GGATCGAGCCCCGTGTCGGGCTCCCTGCTCAGCGGGAAGCCTGCTTCTCCCTCTCCCACTCCCCCTGCTTGTGTTCCCTCTCTCGCTGTGTCTCTCTGTCAAATAAATAAATAAAATCTTTAAAAAAAAAATGCATTGACAAATTCTGGTAAAATATGTAAGAAACTAATGAGAGGTGGTTGTTCTGGGAAGAGTGTTTATATTTTCACTTATAATTTCTGATTTCTAATTATGTAAATGAAATTTCTATAAAATAGTTCATAATTTTTATGAAGCAAAATCTATATACAACATGATCTCAATTTTGCTTAAAGAATAAAATAGGGACTCCTGGGTGGCTCAGTTGGTTGAACAGCCAACTCTTGATTTCAGCTCAGGTCATAATCTCAGGGTCCTGGGATTAATCCCCACCTTGGGCTCTGTAATTACTGGGGAGTCTGCTTGAGGATTCTCTCTCTCTCCCCCTCCCCCCTGTTCACACATGTGCTCTCTCCATAAAATAAATAAATCTTTAAAAAAAGAATAAATGTACAGATACGAAAATGTCTGTTCAGATATGAAAATGGGTGAAGGGGAGTGGGAGATACAGGCTTCCAGTTATGGAATCAATAAGTCATGGGAATAAAAGATACAGTATAAAGAATATAGTCAATATCATAATAGTGACAGATGATAACTACACTTTTAGTGAGCATAGCATAATGTATAGACTTAACAAATCACTATGTTTTACATTTGAAACTAATGTAACATTGTGTGTCAACTATACTCAAAAAAAGAAAGAAAGAAAATATACAGGGAAAAAAATATGTCAGAATGTACATAGTGCTATGAGTGATTACTTATTCCATTATCCCGATTATCTAAGAGAAATATGTATTACTTTTATAATCAGTAAAAAGAGTATTATGTTTAACGATGCGCAAGGCAAACAAACCAAGAAAAATTATTGCAGCATTTATGATTAACAGCTAGCTATAATTCACAATAAGCTAATATGATCTGTTGGAAACACAGAAAATGCAAATTAAACAAAGTATGTTTTTCACTTCTTAGCTTAAAAATATAAACCAAAAGTAGGTAATGGCCCATGGAACTTATATATTACACTCTGTCAAAAGGATAATCTTTTCAAAAAGCAATATAATTAATTTGCCCTATTGGGTATGAAGCTGTACCCAGTAATCTCATGTCTAGGAATCTCACGTAGGAACTAATTCAAAAGAATAACTCATTTGTGTAAAAATGGCCATTTTAGCATTATTTATAAGAATGGCAAAACAGAAAAACCTAAATTCCCCCAAATTAAGTTACAAGTAAATTTTAGTATAACCATTTAATAGGCATTATACTGGCAATGAAAATAATACCTAAAGGATCACCTATCAATAGGAAAGTGTTTACAATATAAATGAAAAAGGCTTGATATAAAATTTAATGTATGGCAACAACACAGATAATTTTTAGACATTTTGTTAATGAAAGAAAATAGACTCCAAAGGCTATCTGTTGTATGATGCCATTTATGTGACATTCGGAAAAAGGAAAAACTATAAGGATGGAAAACAGTTCAATGGTTAAAGGGGTGGGGGAGGGATGGACTACAAGAGCGCACTGCACAAAGAAATTTTCAGGATGATGGAACTGTTTCTGTATCATGAACTGTAGTGGCAGACACAGTTCAATGCATTTTTCAAAACCCATAAAACTGTACACCACAAAGAGTAAATTTTACATACATAAATTAAAACAACCACCAGGATGTGGAGAAAAACCCAAAACAGAATACAAACTGTAATAAACGACCCCAACTGTAGTTTAAAGGAATAACACAATCATATTAAAGAGGCAGAAAAAAACCTATGTTCCATTAGGAAACAGTATTTGAACTGGATACTCTAAAGCTAAAGACACAAAGAACTATATACACATTCTACACGCTAGTTAATTTGTTGCTTATAGGGTTGGAAATTCTGACACTATGTATGTACTAGAATTATACAAATAAATAAATATGTATATTATCAATAATGAAAGCCAGGTTTCTTACTGTCAGAAGAAAAAAGTTACATGGAAAGAAGAAAGGCTAGAATGAAGTCTGTGGCATTGGGCTGGAATTGGAAGTATTAGTATGAACGCATGATTTTTTAGGAAGTATCGATATGAACTCAGTCTTTAAAATACATAAATATAAATTTAGATATGCATGTATGCACAAGTTAATACACATAACACATATTTTCAAGCTCTGTCTGCTGAGGGGATCTAGAGACAATGACACTCCCAGAGCAACAGAGCATACTTAGTGCCCAGATCTTTGTTTCTAAATTACCAGTCTCCAATATATGGAAACAGGGCTCCCCAGAGAAGGGGTTGATTCCAGGGCTGTTGCAAGGAAAAATAAAAGATGAGTGTCGAGCATCTTGTGGCACCAGAAAGGAAGTACTCAAATACAAGGAGCATGTTGGAAAAGCACAGGCACCGACCTGAAAAAGATCCCAAAGGCCAAAGGTAGAATTGGAGCAACAAAATAATGACAGCATTGGATTATAACTCCAAAGAATATAATAAACATCCGTAAGTCCACACTAATATAAATGAGTAATTCAACAGAGGAGAAGGGAGAGATTTTCCTTACAAAATTCCAATTAATAAATGTAGAAGGAGGGCGCCTGGGTGGCTCAGTCGTTAAGCGTCTGCCTTCGGCTCAGGTCATGATCCCAGGGTCCTGGGATCGAGCCCCACAT